TTCGCGAACCAGCATAATCGGACCATGGGACAGGGGTTTAACGGGGGGTTTGATGGGTTGAAAATGGGGTTTTCCCATTTTTTACCCTTAAAACACAAAATTTATCAATTTTCCTCCTGACCTCTTTAAAGAGCTTAAAAAGCAAATAATTTAGTATATCAAAGTGGTTTTGGTGATTGGTTACAGTTGTAGTTGGCTTCTTTATGGATATATTTTGATCAAACTTGGCGGATTTATTTATTTCATACTAAGCTATTAATATTTTAAGAAAAAACACACTTTATTAGTTTCCCTGTAGCACCTAACCTAGGTACTCGTTAAACATAAATGTATATTTAATATATTAATTGAAAATCAATCCAGGCAAATGGAAATTCGCTTAGTCGGCAGGTTTGCTGCAGCGGGGGTATTTTCCAATTTAGACCAGTTTTGTTGATTATATAAACTCGTCGGAGTAAAAAAGGTTCACAAATTAGTACCAGATGCACGATAGCTGTTAGCAAACCTCTCGAAAGAGTAAGGTAACACAATTAACTGGAGAATGGGCTAGTGTTACTATACTAGCATCAAAACATGTTTTAGCGTTGTAGCTTTAGACAATCTTTCAGAAAGAAGGAAGTATATAGAATACAGTTTTCGCATTACTTTCAATCAATACCGAACCTATTCAGTGTAGAATAATAGATTCGAGGAAACATGAGAAGACTGAATGGTTTCCTATTAATTTATTTCTTTTAAAACGAAATTAATCAGTGACCATTGTCGATAAATTTAATAACATCAATCTTTAGTGAGAATAAATGATGCTGGAATTTCCTCACGATTAGGTAAACATTCATTTGCTTACGTGACCTGTGGAAGTAGTTTTTTTATACATACTTCCGTTAATACTATTTAGATACAAATTTAAAAGTCTGCATGAAAAATATGTAAGATATAAAATTATAGTAATGCATTGTATTTAGGTTAGTGACGAGGTTGTTATGTTGTGTGTGCGTGGATCTACAGTAGGTGATGTGGTAGCGCAAGTCGACGTCGCGTCGCCACATGCGCGCTATATATAACGTGACCGCTATCATTCACAGCAGCTCGAAGAATGAGAATTTGATGTGTGTAGTATGGAAGCGTGCCGAAGGTCGTTCAAGGTTATATTCCTTGGCATCTTCACCTGGGAGCGCACTTTTACATGTCCAGGTGTATGATCCATTGACGAATAATGAAAATAATAGTTGAGAAAGTTATATATGCATGCCAACCTTGTTTTTGTACATACTCGAGCTCTCCTATGGTTATCCAACTGCATTAGAAATAAGTATAAAGTCCGAGTTCCCTTCTCCACAACAGTTTTGAAGGCTATTTTATAATCTATTATATTATTAAGGTGATTCAATCAAATTGTATGTAAACTGTTAAGGTCAATTACAAAATAAAGATATAGACATATGGCAGATCAAAATTAAGCTTAGAGTGTGTAGATTTGTAGAAAATTATTGGTATGTACAAATTTCTTAAGGGCTCTGCTCCACAGGCAGATTTCCACAGGGCTACGTCCGACATGCTTCCAAAGCTTAAATTATTTTATTTATTTGATGAACCAGATGGTCAGTACAGGTTTTTGTTTATTTACTGAAAAAAATATTTGTGATGCTTTATTTAGATTGTGAAAATTTGTGCATTATTTAATAAGAGGGTTATGTTTATTTAAAGAAAGGTTGTACAAGTTGTGTAGAGTATTGCTCACAGCTTCATTTATAGTTTATATTGTAAGCTATGTAAAGAGGCTTGACTAAAATTGAGGAATTATGGTAAAACATCTCATTCATGAAGCACCAATATCAAGTAATTGATGTTATTGCTACACTAAGGTATGTGGTCATATTCTTTTGGATTTATTGACATCAAAATTAGGGTTTTGAAAGAAAGTACTTTACACTTTTAAATCAGTTTATCTTTTCAAACTAAATTATAGACTTATTTCATTTTTAAATACACCAGCACCACTTATCTAATGGCATTAGGTCACATTTTCTTCCCGTTGCAAAGCAAGATTATAGCAGCTCGTATTAAACTATTTTATCACTATAAGACACTATTATCCATGCAAGCTATTGTCTGAAATGTGTACTCTTCTTTAAAAACGAGCCCTAGATAACGAATGTGGAGCATCCGATGCATAGTTCAATGTGATATTGACAAATAAACCAGATAACACACAGGGGAACTAAAGAACCTTTATTATAAAATATATGTAATGTTGCCAAGTTCTCGTTTATACAATCCAGACATCCACATGGAAATGTACACTTTCATATCTACCCCAACTTATCAGCGAATTTAAACTATTTCTACTTTACTTTGATCTTTTATTCCCCGTTTACCATTACTGTATATACTCTGTGTAGGTACATCTTGTTTTAAGCTTTCTAAGCCAAATGTTTAGGTATATATTTAATCTTTAGTAAGAGGAATTCCTACTAGCAAAGATTGGCTATCCTATAGTATTACTCTTGTCAGACGTTCCTAAAAAGATTAAACCTCTTTTATGTTTTATTGTATTTTGCCTGTACCACCCAGCAAACTATTGTGCATACTAAACATAATTGTCACAATAGCACCATAAATCGACCTACAACATGAAATTGCAAACTAAATAGAACCATGTAGTGGTGGTCCAAGGGCCATGCCTGTTGGTCATGTTTGGCATGGTTGCCATGTCTAGTCGTGTCACCGACGCCTACGGTGTGTCCGACACCATTACAAAGATTGACTTTTCTCAACATTGTGTTTTACTGCACGGTAATTAAATCCGTCCACTTTGATGTATGGTTGTCAACACGCTGCGACAGAGGCTAATGTTGGCTTGTTTAGCCTATATATAAACCGACTAAAAATAATTTACTATACAAGAGACAGTTCTATAACAAGAGCTTCTTAGATTTTCAGAAATTCAGTGGAGAGAGTTATATGTACTTAGTGATGTTAAACATATTGTATAATACATAATTGAATACTATCTTTGACTACTAATACAACATCAGATTGTGCTGATCTAAATTACTGATTTCTGCCGATTAAATGATGGTTTTTACCAAGTCAAACTGATGGAATTACTTATTATGAGTTATAGCAACTGTTGTGACCCATCAACCTGGTCAGCAACAAAAAATAAGGTATAAAATAGAATTCTAGACACTAGAGCATTCTGTGACTGGCTCACACAACTACATTCTTTTTTTAAAAAAAAAGGGCGACAGCTGATCCATATAGATGGGATGTCTTCTCCTGTATCCAATAGTCAATGATACTAATGTATATACATACGTATTAAATAAATGAAATTTGTTCATGTCGCTCCAAAGATTTAAATGAATAGTTTTTTTTTCTTTTTATCGTAATAAGATATACAGTACTAGGCTTACTTATAGTTTTTTGTTAATTATTTTTTGAGGATTATGCCAAAATATATATATGCAATCGTATAGCAAATAAACAAAGGTAAAATTTGAAATTTTCTCATCAACGTTTTCGGTTTGATTTGAGATTGGAAAGAGTTATTAATGATAACTATATACCAATAGAAGGTGATTTATACAGCTTCAAAAATATTATTTATATCTAGATGTAATCCAATAAACATTCAAACAATGGTTTCTTTCACCGTAAGCACGAAAGATGATTGGACTAGATATATTCCCGAGTACAACCACTAATATCGAGACCAAAACCAGTTAACTTATAATAGTCCAAACGCTACAAGAATGTCGTGTTTGCGTATTTAAAATTTACATATTATTTTAACTCGTTTATGTGTAATGCTCTATATAACATATGACACTTTCTGTAAGTAGGTCAAGTAGGTGTGGTTGTAAGTAAGTGCTGCAGTATTTATTCAACCCTTAATTTATTATAATGCTGACATATTATTCGCAGATGTTTGCAAGTATACAAGTGGCAGTGGCTACTAGTGCCAGTGCCAGTATGATCAGTCATTGGAGCACCTGTCCTCCCCACTCGCTCACTCGGACCTTTAGATCGAATTCAGTTCAACAAACCCTCCCCCTCCAACTCTGTACCACTATTCGGTCTATGTGAGTCCCCATTATTGTGACGGTAAAAGAACGTGGTTGCGTAGTAACATTCGTTACCAGGTGAGAAATCAATCAGCGTGTTTGAGAGTTGGGCGCTCAGCTGATTTTACGTTTCTGGTAACATTCGCATTCTTCCCTCCAACTAAGAGTAATCTAACAAGGTACTACCAAACCTATGATGTAAACTGTATAAAATAAAGGTAGCTTTTGAAATACGGTGTTTCAACTGTCATTACAGCTAAAAGGTTTTAGGGCTACAGTAAATTTTCCTTTATTCAAGGCAATGTGTATTTGGAAATTTAAGATCTCAAAATCATAGTTTGAAATCTAGTTGCAATCAAAAGGTATTTTTGCTTGACATTTTTTTAAATAAATTAACAAAACATTTTTTTTTCAGATAGGCTATAATTTTTAAAATTTTTTATATTTCTAATACTCTATTATATCTTGTTGTTGGTTTCTTTAGTAGCACAATTTGATTTTTGAATAGGGTTTGGATTAATTGCGTTTATTGGTTTTGAAATGTATTGTATTCTCAAGAAGTGTTAAGTCAGCTTACTAATCTGTAATCGGAACGGCGAGTCAGTTCAGTGGCAACGTCAACCAGTCCGCCATGTGGCTGACCATCTTTGTATACAACCCCCACACACTTTAAACTTGAACTTCTTAACTATATACAGCATAGCTGCATTCCCATTATCTTTATCAGGACATCAGAACTTTGCCTAGGTAGTGTACAGATAAATTCGTCCATATTTTGAAAGGTTCTCTAAAAAACAACGATATTATTGTAACATTTCACCGATAAACACACAACATAAGTGCATAACCCACAACAACATACTATAGTAGATTAAAATTTTAGCCTCAAACCACATGACTGAGTGTACACCATTGTATAAGATTACTTACAAACCAGCTGAGCATCGTGATTATTTTGTATCCTATCCACTCTTACACTCATCCATGATCACAACACTAACACGTCACGCCACGACACGTCGCGACACGACACGACACGACACGACACGTCCCAACACGTCTCAACACGGCTGTACACACGTGACGGCGGCGCGGCGGTGGCGGGACGACTACTGCTCGCTGCCCACCTGCTCATGCTCAGCGTTGCCTCACCGACGTCTATTCTGGGCGTCGCGACGCAACTTCAGCTGTTGCGGATTCTAGCGACGGTCTCTGTGCATTACTCAAGTCCAGTCCTTATTGTCTAGCGACAACCCCCCTTTAATTAAACGCGTGTCCTCTGTGATTTAGAGCGTACATCGTGATATAAGCGATTCCGGGTCTGCGCCAACTCGCGTGGGCAGCGTAAATGGTGGTTTGTTATTGTCCTTGACCGTTATAGCGGAATATGTCGCGAAACTACATTTCCCACCGCGTCTACCGTTTGGTCTAGCCACAAGCCAAGTCGCGGCCGTTAACGCTCTAATTTCGGATCTCGATTAGTCGTTACCAAATACCAGGTTGGCCATTCATGTCAACCAACTGATGCCAAACAGCTGCAGCACTACCAACATAAACCTAAAACTGCATGAACTGTTTTGTCTATATAGGCTGCCTAGTAACTTAAGTATCTATGTGTTAAGATGGAGGGAACATAAATATTCAATTTCATGTGTGTGTCTTCTGTATGTATGGTAAATGTCTATAAATGTACATTAATTAGTGGAATCTTCAAAGGAGAATGTTGTCATGACCATAGTGATAAAATGATATTCCATGATTATTTACTTTCTTCAGATTTAGATTTCTATAAAGTCCAACATGAAAGCAGTTGAGCAAGCTTATACTGATGTAAATTATATTCATAAATCTCTCTGGCGTGCTAGTTCTGAGCTTATTTCAGTGACGGTTTAGCAACGGTTGGTTGTCGGCTTAGGATCTCAAACGATTATGCAAAATGGAGGAAACTGAATTTCCTGAGGACAGGAACCGTCACCGGAAGGAAACGCCCTTGAGTCTGACTCGCTTCCTGACAAGTTCTAGTCAAGTTCATAGCCAAAGTATTTTCCTCAGGTTCTTTGTAAGCTGCGTAAGCATTTTGCAAAAATATCTTTTTTATATTACCAGTTGAAGTAGTTATTTGCCTTAAGAAGATTTATATGGCTCACTCACTACAGCCTAGAAGTGAGACCATTCATGAATTAGCTGTTTCATGAGCTAACTGTAGTAAATTGAAAATTAAACTATACCCAATACTAAAACTAAGTGTTTTCCTAGGACGCTAGGCACGAGCCTGGGATTTCGTTCACATCACTTCAGGCTAGACCAAGGGGTTTCGACATCATCACTTAAATAATAATCCATTGGTGAAATGTCAGGTTCTAGCCCTCAGCACAGAAAACATACTTTGGTATGTATTCTGTGACCTCAGGGACCCAAGTTTTGCGCTCTACCACTGGACCAGTTCGTCCCCCTTCCTAACTATTACCATTGTGTTATATATTCAATGCTTATTTACATATCAATGCTTCAATACTTACTTGAACATAAACTAATAGTTACTAAAACAGAGTAACAAGTACGAGTAAGTTACTACGCAATCAGAAAAAAATAGCTGATCCATTATTATTACAAATGTTTGACTAGTTAAGGTTTTCATTTCTATTGTATTGATTGGTGATTAAATGATCAATTTAACTTGGTTTAACATAAGTATGTCGTTAAACACTGAAAATCTGTATTTTGTATTGCAAATATCTCAGAAATTGAAATATGTTCAAATACAACATAATCTACTGAAGATTCCTTCCAAAGCATATAGTTGCACTTTTCTCCTATGATAGTTAATACTCGGTTCTTTTATAAAACATCCAAAACCTTACAATTGGTTTTAAAATAAAATAAAGAATTTTACATACAGTATATTATGTGTTAACTACTTAAGGATTGACCATTACACAATAAATTGCCGTTTGTGAATCTTTTATAACTTCATTTACAAATATGCAATATCATAAGGGGCAACGTAAATACTTATTTGAGCAAGCATGACCTTTAATTGACATTATCCTTAGCACAATAGTGTTGCTCAGGAATATGACACGGATAAATTTCAACACGAATGTAAATATCGGTAATCATTTTAGTACTCGAGCGATTACAATACCATGATAATGTCTTATTGGCATTCAAGATAGAGCTCAAAACCCACAATTTTAGCCATCGATACATGTTGAGAAAGGTCCACCTTTAAATGGCGTGGGCGTTTTTGTTTATAAAGAATGTTATAATAACGACGAAAGGTGTTTGCAGAGCACAGGTCTGGACGATGGCCAGAAGCTTAAACCTGACAGGTGTTACTCCTATGAACATCCAGTTTGGTGATGCGTCACGTTTATCAGTCTGCTGTCGTTTCTAGTTATCTACTTACTTGGGCCTACGTTTGGCTAGCCAGAAGACTATACCAGATAGACATAACCTATATAAATAGCCAGTTTTGTTATGCGTCACGTTTATCAGTTTGCTGTAATTTCTTGTTCTCTACTTACTTGGGAATACTTTTGGCTATCCAGAAGACTATATCAGATAGATATTACTTATATAAATAGCCAGTTTGGTTATGCGTCATGTTTATCAGTTTGCTGTCATTTCTAGTTATCTACTTACTTGGGCCTACGTTTGGCTAGCCAGAAGACTAACCAGATAGATATTACTTATATAAACAGCCAGTTTGGTTATGTGTCATGTTTATCAGTCTGCTGTCATTTCTAGTTATCTACTTACTTGGACCTACGTTTGGCTAGCCAGAAGACTATATCAGATAGATATTACTTATATAAACAGCCAGTTTGGTTATGCGTCATGTTTATCAGTTGGCTGTCATTTCTATTTATTCACTTACTTGGGCCTACCTTTGGCTAGCCAGAAGACTGAACCAGACAGACATTCATGTACACAACCATATTGGTTATATCATACCATAGATTAAAGGAGCAGACACTACCACTCCTACTCTACCATCTACTCCAATATATGGGTTACACTGTATGACACATCTATCAGTCATAGGCCTACGTCCCTTATTTACCCATCTACGGTAAGCCGGTTTTCTAAGCATTGATTAAAGGAGTAGACACTCGTTTAAATATTTACCTAGGCCTATTGTAAATATTATCTATAACATTATAATTTGAACATAAAATGTTGTTAATAAAACTAAGCAAAATATGTTTCTACTTTTGAACACAACAGATTACTTAAAATAATATTTTTCCAAATACTATTTCTTTTAAGAACCGAGGAAACATATACTAATTCTATTCTTTAAATTAGTGGACATATCCATTCCCTATATGTTTTTGATTATCCAGCGATAAAACACCTAAATAGAAAATATAATCAAGCAGTTGAATACGAATAAATCGGCAAGTCTTTCTCTTCGTGTAAAGCTGTTCTAAAACAGCGCGTCACGAAAAACATTCTCAGCAAACTATTTGGCGGGAGGCGGTGAGTAAACGGAAGTGGGAGTGAAATGACGGAAATAGGAGGAGGGAAGGTGAGACTGTGTGAGTGTGCTACGTAAATCTGACTGATGGTTTTGACAGTTGACCAAAACTAAGCGAACAGCTGTCAGGATGACCTGGGAGATTGCCAACAACCATCGTCCATCGTCTAGCATCCCTACATCTCCAGTATGTGACGCTCAGCTCCTGTCCATCCGCACTGAGGACCTCAATCCGGAATCATACTTACGTGCGTTGGGAAGTAAAAATTTATTTTCTTAGCCGTTTTCAGACGTTTATTGGAGGCCGAAAGCTACGTATTGCTGTCCATACCAGCTGTCATCGTCATATAGGGACCGAGCAGGTTTTTACATCCCTAGGGTCGAAAATCAGCTGCCCACTTTCTCAAAACATCAATGCATACAATCAGTATCCATAGCATTGCAATATAATTGTTTTACTTTCACCGCTGCCAGGCAACTATTTATTATTATTTTTTCTGATTCCTTAAATTATTTCTTCACTTCACATAACCTTACAGTTGTGCTTGTGTTGACAGTGTGCATTATTATTTTGGTGAATAGTGGTAATAGGGTATAGTGTGGTGAAAAATAGCGTTCGTACCGTGGACTGAAATGGTTTTGCAGCTCTTGAACGTTAAAACTATCTCGAGCCTGCAAAACCTTATTTTCGGTCCTAGGTACGAGAAATATACTATTGTGTAACCAGAGAGGAAAATGGCCAATTTTATCGAGAACACTCATTACTGACTTGCTGAACTCTATATTTCAAGAACAACTGGCTTGGCTTGGCTTCCATTTAAACCGCATGAGGAAATTAAAACGTAACAATGGAAAACCATTTTAGCTGAATAAAAGAAGAGGGGGTTCCAGTCAGGATTACAAACATAGATATGTTTGTAGAGTTGGGGTTCTAGTAATGGTTACATTGCTACATAGGTTGATTTTGGCCACTATACTTTGAAATTGGCAACCATACATGAAAAAGTAAGATTACACCATACTGCAATAATCTCCGTCTTCAATGAAGTCTTGAATATTGAAATGGTTAGCTTTCTTCCTAGTTAAACTATTGAGCCTACAACACGTTCCATCTTCATATTAATCTCTGCCAAAGTGGTAAAATTGATACAAATCAAACTTAAAACCGACTAATACGACTGTAAAACGTAAAACCTTGCTATAACGCCCCGTGATGGTCTTGGAAACATTATTTAGTATTATTTTCGTGCATCTTTCATATCCTACGTATGCTGCTCACATAGCTGTGTAGATCGTTACGGAGTAGCTCTAGTGCGATATTTTAGCTCGGATGACTGTTCATGGTTGGCAACAACATCCACTTTTGTCTATTTCCACACTGGAATCCTCCTCAGATAGTGACTCATAACAATAATATAAAGGAGTGTTTCCATTGTTATGTGTCATCTTGTTGAACAAAGCGTATTTAGCATTGTAACTGCAAGTTGTACTGGCTGATAGATGCCAAACAAGGAAATTTTGACGCAAGTCTTTCCTGCTTGGTTTAAAGTCATCCTTGATACCACCTGTGTGCTATAAGGGTTTGATGCAACACGGGTATGCAATGAAAACACTGTGTACGAGATTATTTCGTTTTTTTTATATATTTTTTTGATGTAATAGTTATGAGATTTTCAGTGACATATTAATGCAAATAATTTCTTTACTGATTACGGTTGTATTTTCTCTATTTGGCCGAACTGGAATCAACAATGCTCATCACCCCAGACCGAACTACAAACCTACTATGGATTGAATTTTAATTTATAGATCAATACTGAGCAAATAATC